AAAGCAGCGAGAGAGTGAGGAGAGTAGAAACTGTGATATGCAGAAGGCAGAAATATTACCTTTTATTTAGATTTTACAAGCGTTCCAGTGGACCTCTTAATATATATATATATATATATATATATATATATATATATATATATATATATATATATATATGTATATATATATGTATAGATTTTTCTTTTCTTTTCTTTTTTTTCTTCTTTTTTTTTTAGTGTAGACTCTTATTAATACCAAAAATTGCGTTAGCTTAATACCTGGTAAAAAAATCGAAGCGGCTCTACAAAAATAAGAAGAATAGTATTTATCTTGGTATAACTATTTATTATTATCAATAATTATGGTAATGATAATGATTATCATTATTATTACCCTTTTCATCACCACCATCATCATTATTACTTTGTTATAAATGTTATATTATTATTATTATTATTATTATCATTTTATCATTATTATTATTGTCATTATTATCATTGCTATCATTATTATTGTAGTTATTCTTGCTAATTTATTATTATCTTTTAGTGTCATTATTATCATTTTCATCATCCATCATTCTTACTGTTATCATTATTGTTACCATTATCACTATTATTGGTGATGTTCTTAAAGTTGTTATTATTGTTATTAATGACATTCTTCTTATGATCACCATCGCTGTCATATTATTATTATTATTATTATTATCATTATTATCATTATTATTATTATCATTATCATTATTATTATTGTTATTATTACTGTTATCATTATCATCACTATTGTTATTATTATTACCATTGCTATTTATGTTGTTATTATTATCATTACTATTTATGTTATCATTATTATTATTGTCATTATTACTTTCATCATTACCATTATCATTATTGCTGTTGTCATTATCATAATCATTATCACTGTTATCATCATCATCATCATCATCATCGTCACCATCATCATCATCAACATCATCATCATCATCACTATCACCATCACCGTTATCATCATCATTACTATTATTATAATAATTAGTAGTAGTAGTAGCAGCAGCAGTAATAATAGTAGTAGTAGTAGCAGTAGTCATTCTCATTATCATTTAATGACACCAACCATAATGATAATCTTACTGTCATAATTGGCAGTGGATGTCACAGAAGCCATAAGTACTATTTATCATTAGATTACCGTTATCATAGATGTAACTGATATTTTTTTATTATTATCATAGGTATTACTGTAGAAATTAATGTATTTGTTATTATTGCTAATATTATTATCATCATTAGCATTATTGTTGTTGGTGTTACTGCTGTTGCTATCATTGTCATTATCATTATTATCATCATTGTAATTATTATTATTATTATTATTATTATTATTATTATTATTATAATAATTATTATTATCATTATTATTGTTATTATTATTGTTGTTGTTGTTCTTGTTATCATTATTATCATTTCTGTTACTATTAATAATAATTTCATTGTTGTTGTCGTTGTTGTTCTTGTTCTCCTTCTTCTTCTTCTTATCATTATTATTATAGTTGATAGATAGAGATAGATATAGACTGATAGACTGACGAACAGACGGACATGTAGATGATAGTCATGAAGTAACATGCTTACTTACACTGAGAAAAGTCCTAATGATTAATCTTAAAGAGGATTGTAGTAATCAATATCTTGAAGGGAAAATATGTCCTAGAGAGGAATATCTTTGCTCTAGGGGTAACTATTTCCTTTGAAGCATTTGCAAAGAGCATATGCAATGGTATCTTATAAATATTGGTTTTATATAGCTATTAGGAAAAGAACCAAATAAATAGATTGCTTCCGCCGTGTGTCTCTGAATATAGAAAACCAATATGATCTGATTGAAGGATATAGAAGAAAACCGAAACTGAGTTTTCTTTATCTTTATATTTCCATTCCCTTCCTTCAGCGGAAGATAGCGCAGGGTCAAAATAATTCTGATAGCAGACCCATTATAAAATCAAGTTCGATAGTCCTTATATAACAACCAATAAAATAAATATATCGAAAACAAAGAAATAAAGAATAAAACAAGCCAGATAAAAGAAGAAATATAAAAAAAACACATAAATAAAACTATAACCCCGCGGTCTGTCTGAGGTGTTGTGATGAGGGCGAAGCGAAGGCAGGACTGACGGGACACCCTTTCGCCTTATTTTCATGCCCTTTAGCTTAACTCTCTCCATATTTGACGACCCTCGAAGACCCCAGCGGTAAGTCTCTTCCACCTGCGTCAACGTGACTCCAATTCCGGTCGAAGGAGAAGCTTATCTCGAGCATAATTACAGCGGACTTTTTTTTTTCCATGGGAGCGGGACTGAGCCAGGCTTCGCAATGGAGAGGCGGTTTTTATGGAGATAAATTAACCCCTTTCCGCTTTCCCGATGGCCTTCCCGTCCTTGTGGAATAACAGAGGAACTTTATTTGAAGTCGAATACGTCAGCGACAATCACAGAAATGTTATTGAAGGCGAAATAACGAGTCGTGAAGTTGTGTTGGTGTTTTCCCCCTTTGTGCTCCTCGACGGTAATGGATGAATGAACTGCGGTTATTTATGGCGATTTTTGGGTTGAATTCGGCGGACGTTTTAGGCTGGCGTGTGGTTGACTTGTGCTGGGTTGATGGAGGGTTCTGTGTCGTTATTTTGGTGTGTATGTAGCGACTCTTTGGTGGGAAATTGTCGTAGGTTTTAAAAGGAGTGTGTCGTGGATCCAGTGGGAAATTTTTGGCTTGGGTTTTGGTGTTTTTTCTTTCGTGTCTCTTGTGTCTTTGTAGGATTTATTTGTAGACTGACGAACAGACAGACATGTAGACCAGAATGACCAGAAGAGCTACAGATGAGATTTGTTTGAATTATTATAATGATTATTCCCTGATTTATTATTTTCTCTTATGAGGTGGATGTACCGTAATTTACGTTTTTACAAGGGTTCTAGTGATTTTTATTTGTTTTGATGGGTTTAGGGTGATGGTTTTTGTTCAGTTATTGTGAGTACATGGTATAAATAAAATACGTGGTAGGTTTTGTTAAGGTTTACAGAAGTCGTAATTTTAGGTCTTTGAACTTGTGGTTGGATTATGGTGATGTTAAGTGTTTATAAGGTCCCTTTGCCGCTGGAAATGGGTGAAGACTGTACACCTTTTGGCACATTTGTATATTATTTTTAATTTGTATATTGAATAATTTGGTTTACACATAATCTAGATATCAAATTGGACTGACAGTCCTGGCTGACTTTCCACTTGATCACTTTTTCATATTTATATCAGTTTCTATCTCTTGTGCATTTTTTAATGTTTTCTTTTTATTTCAAGTGTATCATTTAATTGATAACTTTTTCATATTTATATCAGTTTCTTTCTCTTGTGCATTTTTTAATGTTTTCTTTTTATTTCAAGTGTATCATTTAATTGATAACTTTTTCATATTTATATCAGTTTCTATCTCTTGTGCATTTTTTAATGTTTTCTTTTTATTGCAAGTGTATCATTTAATTGATAACTTTTTCATATTTATATCAGTTTCTATCTCTTGTGCATTTTTTAATGTTTTCTTTTTATTGCAAGTGTATCATTTAATTGATAACTTTTTCATATTTATATCAGTTTCTATCTCTTGTGCATTTTTTAATGTTTTCTTTTTATTTCAAGTGTATCATTTAATTGATAACTTTTTCATATTTATATCAGTTTCTATCTCTTGTGCATTTTTTAATGTTTTCTTTTTATTGCAAGTGTATCATTTAATTGATAACTTTTTCATATTTATATCAGTTTCTATCTCTTGTGCATTTTTTAATGTTTTCTTTTTATTTCAAGTGTATCATTTAATTGATAACTTTTTCATATTTATATCAGTTTCTATCTCTTGTGCATTTTTTAATGTTTTCTTTTTATTTCAAGTGTATCATTTAATTGATAACTTTTTCATATTTATATCAGTTTCTATCTCTTGTGCATTTTTTAATGTTTTCTTTTTATTTCAAGTGTATCATTTAATTGATAACTTTTTCATATTTATATCAGTTTCTATCTCTTGTGCATTTTTTAATGTTTTCTTTTTATTTCAAGTGTATCATTTAATTGATAACTTTTTCATATTTATATCAGTTTCTATCTCTTGTGCATTTTTTAATGTTTTCTTTTTATTTCAAGTGTATCATTTAATTGATAACTTTTTCATATTTATATCAGTTTCTATCTCTTGTGCATTTTTTAATGTTTTCTTTTTATTTCAAGTGTATCATTTAATTGATAACTTTTTCATATTTATATCAGTTTCTATCTCTTGTGCATTTTTTAATGTTTTCTTTTTATTTCAAGTGTATCATTTAATTGATAACTTTTTCATATTTATATCAGTTTCTATCTCTTGTGCATTTTTTAATGTTTTCTTTTTATTGCAAGTGTATCATTTAATTGATAACTTTTTCATATTTATATCAGTTTCTATCTCTTGTGCATTTTTTAATGTTTTCTTTTTATTTCAAGTGTATCATTTAATTGATAACTTTTTCATATTTATATCAGTTTCTATCTCTTGTGCATTTTTTAATGTTTTCTTTTTATTTCAAGTGTATCATTTAATTGATAACTTTTTCATATTTATATCAGTTTCTATCTCTTGTGCATTTTTTAATGTTTTCTTTTTATTTCAAGTGTATCATTTAATTGATAACTTTTTCATATTTATATCAGTTTCTATCTCTTGTGCATTTTTTAATGTTTTCTTTTTATTTCAAGTGTATCATTTAATTGATAACTTTTTCATATTTATATCAGTTTCTTTCTCTTGTGCATTTTTTAATGTTTTCTTTTTATTTCAAGTGTTTCATGTGATTATTTGCTTTTTCTTATCATGTATCATGTATCATGGGATTGATGATTTAGCGTCATGTTAATCAATATACTGTACTTGTTTCCATTTTGAATTCCCTGTTTTCTCTTATTGTCTTTTCTTTTTTTATATATTTGCAGGGTAGCTACACTGATGTAACCCTGGCATGCGAGGGCAAGTTCTACCCCGTCCATAAACTGGTTCTATCAACTTGTAGTGAATACTTTAGTGACATTTTTGACCGCACGCCATGCAAAAACCCGGTTGTAGTTCTTAAGGACATACAGTGTCGTGATCTAGAGTTCTTGCTAGACTATATGTACATAGGTGAAGTGAATGTGAGACAGAATGAACTCTCATCCCTCATAAAGGCTGCCGAGTGTCTCAGAGTGAAAGGTTTAGCTGTGCCAGATGAAGAACCTAAGCAGGCAACAGTGGCCACCACCAATACCACCACCACCAACAACAACAGTGGGTTTTCTGGGACGAGGCAGCGGCCAGTGGAGCAGCAACAGCAGCAACAACAGCAGCAGCAGCAGCAGCAGCAGCAACAACAGCAGCTTGGTGAACGCAGCAGTAGCCCCCCGGCCAAGAGGCGAAAGGGGGATGAGCGGAGATCTAGCAACCCTCCCCCGGAAGCCGAACCAAGTACCGTGGTGCCGCTTGTCGACCGACCCCTGGAAGACAAGCCCAGCGATGAGCCGTGCTTACCTCAACCCCCACAGGAGTCAGAAGTGAGTTGAGGATGATAAGACAGTCTTTGTCTAATTTTATTTAAGGTTTGGTTTTCCTTCATTTGTGCTTTTTAGAATGAAGTGATAAGCAAGAATACACATGCATGTCCCTATGCAGACACACACTGTCATTCATACATCCACGTACCCATATGAACACTTATGCTTATAAACATAGATGCAAGCACTCCCATGTATGTGTGCCTGCGCATGCGTGTGCTCCCGTACAGTTGATGTACATGCACGTGTTTGTACTCATTTTCACTCTTACAGACTCACTCACCCGGTCATGCACTTATGCATTCATACACTCATTCACACACTTGCACACTTACACACACTTGCACACTTGCACACTTACACACACTTGCACACTTGCACACTTACACACACTTGCACACTTACACACACTTGCACCCTTACACACACTTGCACCCTTACACACACTTGCACACTTACACATTTGTACACTTACACACACACTTGCACCCTTACACACACTTGCGCACTTACACACTTACACACACTTGCACACTTACACACACTTGCACACTTACACATTTGCACACTTACACATTTGCACACTTACACATTTGCACACTTACACACACACTTGCACCCTTACACACACTTGCACACTTACACTTACACACACTTGCACACTTACACGCACTTGCACAGACATGCACACTTGCACAGACATGCACACTTGCACACTTACACAATTGCACACTCTTGGACACTTACACGCACTTGCACAGACATGCACACTTGCACACTTACACAATTGCACACTCTTGGACACTTACACTTACACACATTTGCACACACTTGGACACTCACACACACTTGCACACTTACACATACCTACACACTTACACATACCTACACACTTACACATTTTTGCACACTTACACTTACACACACTTGCACACTTACACACACTTGCACACTTACACACACTTGCACACTTACACACACTTGCACACTTACACACACTTGCACACTTACACACACTTGCACACTTACACACACTTGCACACTTACACACACACACACACACACACACACACACACACACACACACACACACACACACACACACTTGCACACTTGCACACTTACACACTTGCACACTTACACACTTACACACACTTGCACAGACATGCACACTGACACACACACTTGCACCCTTACACACACTTGCACCCTTACACACACACTTGCACCCTCACACACACTTGCACACTTACACATACCTACACACTTACACATTTTTGCACACTTACACACACACTTACACACACACACACACACACACGCACACACACACACACACACACACACACACACACACACACACACACACACACACACACACACACACACACACACACTTATACACACTTGCACACACTTGCACAGACATGCACACTGACACACACACTTGCACCCTTACACACACTTGCACCCTTACACACACACTTGCACCCTTACACACACACTTGCACCCTTACACACACTTGCACCCTTACACACACACTTGCACCCTTACACACACTTGCACCCTTACACACACTTGCACCCTTACACACACTTGCACCCTTACACACACTCTTGCACCCTTACACACACACTTGCACCCTTACACACACACTTGCACCCTTACACACACACTTGCACCCTTACACACATTTGTACACTTACACACATTTGCACACTTACACACACTTGTACACTTACACACACTTGTACACTTACACACACTTGTACACTTACACACACTTGTACACTTACACACACTTGTACACTTACACACACACACACACACACACACACACACACACACACACACACACACACACACACACACACACACACACACACACACACACACACACACTGTAACTCTTTAACTCTTTCATTCTCTCTCTCTCTCTCTCTCTCTCTCTCTCTCTCTCTCTCTCTCTCTCTCTCTCTCTCTCTCTCTCTCTCTCTCTCTCTCTCTCTCTCTCTCTCTCTTTCTCTCCTCTCTCTCTCTCTCTCTCTCTCTCTCTCTCTCTCTCTCTCTCTCTCTCTCCTCTCCCTCTCCCTCTCCCTCTCCCTCTCCCTCTCCCTCTCCCTCTCCCTCTCCCTCTCCCTCCCCCCCTCCCTCCCTCCCTGGAAAATATTTATCTTCCTCCTTGTTGCAGCCAATAGGTTCATGAATTTAATTAATCTAGTCTTTAGCATTATAATTCATGCACACATCATCCTAGGCAAAGACTCAACTTTTTGTATACTGATATGATATCTAGCAGATACCTACTTGCACAAAATTATTAAGCAGTAATTTTTCACTCCAGTGGCTGACTGTGTGTACAACTCAATGTGGCACAGAGAAAACTTGTCATCATTGGTTTAGCAAGCTGTTTGTAAAGAAGGCCTTTTGGTCGGGACAGCTTGAGTCATGATTAATCTGAAGGATAACTGAATTTAAAGAGAATGGGTGAAGGAATTAAAGAAAAAAAAAAGGAAAAGTAATGGACAAATTTGTTGTTGCAGGTGGCAGCCGGTGAGGCAGAAGGAGAAGCTATGGAGCCGCCACCACTACCTCACATAAAAATAGAACAGGACCTCGAATACCAGGATAACTACGACATCCCCTTGAACTCCAACCCTTCAAGCTTTGACGGCGAGCCTTATGCAGGAGAGTCTGAAGATGGAGTTCGGACAAAGGTAGTGTTTTCAGAGGCATTGGTGTACTTTGGTCGCGAATTTAGAAGGTTGTGATTAACTTTTGTATTTTTATATTTGCTGATCATGTATAAATGAATTCTAGTTATAGTGTTGGAAAGTATGCTTGATTTTGATAGGCATCTTAAAAGCTTATAAGTTTAGTAATAGAGAAATGGTAATGATAATTAAATTAATGAAATGGATATGAACGTTTATATTGTAAGAGAATAAAATTATCAGCTGTTTGCTTTTGTGCAAATATCCTGAAGTGTCAGAAATTGCTGAAATTCTATAATTAGATTTTTTATTGACTTGATTTTTTGCCCATTCTAGCTTTCTTCTTATTTTCGTGCTTCTTTTGTACTGTCAACTTGCACAAACCAGTATTTTTCATCAGAATCATGATATTTTTTTTTTTCCATATAGGTGGAAGGAAAAGACAATGGAAATGTTATGGATGATGACTTAGGAGCTAATTTCTCTGACATGCTACAGTCAACTCTAACAAGTGAAGAAAACATGGAACATCACTCAGGAATCCATCCACATGTAAGTTACAATTTTAAAAAGATTTTTGGAAACCTAGAGAATTCTTGTGAAAATGAAGCTGAAGGAAAGAAGTATCTTTTGACCCTTTTTATAATTTTATAATAGGCGAGTTTTCAGGGTTAGCCAGAGTTATTTAAGACCAGTTGGTGGCAAAAGTGGTGGCATTTGTTAATACAAGCTTCCAGCTATTAGTGGCACAATCCGTATAGATATCACAGGACATAATGGAATATCCACAGCTTCATCTAAAGATACTGCTAATATTGTGACTTCATTTCCATAGACTAGCCCTAATATTATATGTTTTTATCTACCAACATTACTGAGCCACACAGAGCAAATGGTTGTATCAGGAAACCATTGCTACTTTGATTAGTCTTAAGAACTGATATATAGAATTTACTGTACAGTCATAGACTATGCAATTTTTTTTTCTTGGTAATATCTTGTGGGGTTTATCTAACAGACTGTGAACAATATGAACAATAGTTGAAAACTTACCTACAACAGTACAGATGAGTGAGTGGGCAGTTGGTGCCCTAATGAAATCCATTCTTTGTATTTTGATGGACAGCTGGTAACAAAGGGGTTAATAAAATTGGCTTTAATTTAATAGGGAAGAGGTTTGTTGCACTCTAATTTGCCACAGAGAAGATTAATATAAAATGTACAGGTAAATTAGTGAATGAGTATTATACAATTAACCTTGTAAAGTACACTCATTTTTACTTGAGTCATGAAATCACAGATCATATGCAAGAGTCATACCTGAATATGGTCTGCTCAGTTGTAAATACTGTACATGATATTAGCATATGCTGATGATTATAATTCTTGCTCTTTTTCTCTTTTTCTTATAATACTTTTCATAATACAAATTCCTTGTATTCTCATTCTTATTCTGTTTAACATTTAGCATTTATCTTCACTGATTTAGAAAAAAAAAGGCTAGTATTAAAAAGAGAAAAAAAGGAAATCAAATCTTCTATTCTGCTCAACACTAAGCCATTATTTGCTGTTATTGACAGGTAAATTTAGAGTCGTGGGATGGTGTATCGGGCGCGAGAGCTCTGCCGGGACACAACCTGTCTGCTGCAACCGTTTCCCACACTCCCTTGGCACACCACCAACAACAGAAGGTTAGTTGAGATGCGTCTCTTTTGTTCTGTGGGGAACACTTTTGAGAGGGAGTGATTCTTGGTATTTATTTATTTATTTTGATTTATTTTGAATGGGATTTTATTCTTCTATTTTTTTTTTTTTTTTATGTTTAATTTGATGTTTGTGTTTATTACTGTTTATATCTATATCTATCCATCTATTTATTTATCTATCTCTCTATCTCTATATGGATGTATATATATATATATATATATATATATATATATATATATATATATATATATATATATATATATATATATATATTAGTAGATATACATATATATATATATATATATATATATATATATATATATATATATATATATATATATATATATATATATATATATATATATATATATAAGTAGATATACATATATATACACACATTTATATATGTCTATCCTAGCTATTATGTTGCTTCTTATTTAAGTTTTGTTTTTGTACTTTGAATGATATACTTTTCTCTAAACTCTGACACTTTGGAAACGTGAGAATATGGAAAGCAATTAATATAGCATGAATTATGTTTGACCATATTTTATTATCTGATTTTTCAATATCCAAGATCACACTGACATTAATGTATGGAAAATGTATGGAATTTGTGAGAATTTTTTAAAAATAAGAGATGGAATGTCATAAGTTATGTTTGATTACTTTTCTCTTGGGTTGTAGAAAAAGTTTGGTAAACATTTATTATGTGTGTGTTTGAGGTCATGTATTTGTATTTTACGTTCCGACATATTTTAGTATCAGTTACTCATGTATGGTTTATGTCATGGACATTTATAAAGGTTTCAAACACTTGAGTTCATTATAGTGTATTAAGTGATGTAGTGTAGTGGTAAGATATTAACCTCTGTTTTTCTCTGTATTATCATGGAAAAAGGTATTAAACGTGCAAATTCTATATATAAGTGTCTTGTGCTTCTGCTGTCATCTTGCAGAAGTTTGAATTGTCCAAATCTTATATGAACATAAAGACTCTGCTCTGACTTTGTTATACATTGGGGTTGTGTAGATTATGGTTGTTTAACTGTACTTGTATTTACTTGGCTAGGCTAGTCACTGTGTTTTCTCTGATTTTCTTTGTTAACTTGTTAGATCTGTGTTGTCAACTTACTGAAGATGTTGTAGGCTTTTTGCAGCACTACTACTTTATTTCATTGTGACTGTTCATCCTATTAAATGTCTTTTTTCTAAACTGTAATGTACTTTTGTATATTTCATTCTTAAAACAAAAGGGCAAGTTACAGATACTGTAGGAAAAGGCAGAAAACTCTTGAAAATTGGTTTATACTTCTGTTGGGATTTCACATAAAGCAAGCCTTCACTAGCCTCACGGTGGAATGGGCGAAGAAACCTGCAGTTTCAAGACAAGTGCCACTGATGCCCACTTACCAAAGCAACTAAAAGGGAGATTTTAGAGAGAAGTACCTGCACACAACATGACAGATGCCATGGTGAAGGTCGTGTTTGATGGGCAGGGAGCTGGAATCCAGTCACAACTCAGTTGGTCTGTGTTTTTTTAGAGCTACTTTGCCCTTTTTCCAAGATGAATGTCTTGCCTTCAGAATCCTGAAGAACAGTGTGTGGATAACATGGAAAGGAAAACTTTTACTACTAATAAGTGTGGAATATTTTTTTCTTGGATGTTGTTAGGAAGCCATATTTCAGACTCAGACTTGATTGCAGAGACATACACCAGTTATTGGAAGGTGAATTAAATGTGTGTGACTTTGAAGTGGATATAATCCTAAGATTAGGCGTCTGAGGGGTTTTCTAAAATCACTCGAGGGAGGGTGAAGCAGTTGGTGGACTCTTCTGGAATGTGTTTTTTGTCACAGATGTTTTGATATTAGAACATCTCCCAAAATGACATTGTATTGTTTATTTTATTTTGTTTTATTTTATAGCTCCTGACTAAGGAGAATCATCCAGTTGCAAAAAGTAGCTAGCATTTTGATTGAACATGATGCTCATTGAAAGGATAAGAACTAAGGGTTGGCTAGGAGTTTGATAGTTGATAAAATTATATATATATAATACCACTTATTCATTTTATTGTTTTGCAATCATGCTTATTGTTTGTGTTTGAAAAAGTAGGTCTGGTTGCTGTTCTTAATTTTTGTGCGTAGATAAATCTAAGGATATTCTCTTGTTTAACTTCAAGCAATAAAATGTTCTTACTTTTTGTGCATAAAGATAAAGATAAAAATAATCGTGAGGAAATGTCGGAGGTGTGATTTTTCTTCTTCAAAATTCTAGTTCATTGCAAGATCTGAATAATGGATAACTGTCTTTGCAGAAATCATAAGATGAGAAGGGGTTGTAATGACTAATTTATCTTCTTATTTTATATTTATTTTTGGAGAAGAGTCTTGTTTAAAGCTATTCTTGCATTAGAAAGTCTTGCTATGTAATAGGAATATCATTGTGCAAATACCGTTACCTCTAATGTATATAAACTAGCAGCAGTAAGAAACTATATGAAAGACTAATATTATGAAAGAAATGCTGTGACTTAAAGAAAATTAGGATATATGTATTTTGAGTGTATAGTGTATAGAAATCCTTTTCCTTTTGGTACTTTCATATTTATGTAGTTAATGGCATATATTTTGAAGATTTATATTAGTCTATCAGTATAGAAATTAGTGTACATTAGTATATAAGATTTGATTGTTGGTTGTATTAATTTCATTCCAAAAAATATTGATTTCTTTTCTTCTATGTTATGGTATGCTCTAATATTTGTTTTTAATGTTATAAACAACTTTAGACAATAGAAATCTTTATTACTAGGTCCTGAAGACCTAATTCTTGCCATCATAAGTTGACTACATAGATAGATAGATAGACACAAAAAATAATATAGAGGTAAAATTTAGGAATTATAAAAAGACAGAAGGTACTTAACTACTGGGAGTTAAATGTGGAAAAAAGAATCAGTCAGTGCCATAAGCATATTTTGAAAACTTTAGTGATAACCTCATTTGCATATGTAGTGTCAACATGTGTGCTGTCTATTATTCCGTTTGACAAGTCTTGATACAGTACTTTTGATTTAATTATTTTCTTTATGGTATCTTAACATTGTGAAGTCAGTGCATCTGCGCATAAAATTTATACTGGTGTCTCTTATTATTCAACGTTCTGTAAAATATCTTGTCAGCACTTTGCTTTTCTGTTTATTTTTATTTCAGTTACTCTTCAGAAACTTAGACAGATTTGCTTTGACTATCCAGTGTTTTAATTTAAGTAGGTTACTAGGTGTACCTTTTTCATCATATGAGTTACGTGATTTGTAGCATCCTTGAGATGTTACTTGTATTTGCAGTTGTTTTAACTTTTCTTTTGTTTATTTGAAAAAAAAGGAAAGTTATAATTTTCAATGCAGAGGAATAGTTTGATCCTGATTTTGATGCTGGATCTTATAAGAATCTGTGTATTTATGGAATCATTAAGCGTTTTGGTAGTTATGGTAGTAAGAAAAATATGAGCACTGTTATTTACTTTTTTTTATTTATTATTATTTTTTTCTTATTAAGCCCATGAATCCAGGTGCTTCACTGCCAGCATGTGGCCCAAAATACAGGCATTAGGCTTACTTGAGCGGTCTCTCTGATGGGTGTGGGCTTGTAGGCTTGGCGCATGTGAACACTCATATTCTTTGACAAGACTTCATCCTCCCCAGTTGCAATGTTATTTTCTCTTTTTCTGCAGAAGCATTTTCAGCTTTTTTTTTCCATTTTCCAATGTCTATGTTTGTCATTTCAATTGCTTTATGGAGATGGTAATAAACCGTTTTCCTTGTGCAGACTATCTATCATCTCTCTAGGTAGTCCATAACTCAGGGCAATAATAGCAATGAGTAACATTTTGTTATTTGTGTCATTTTAATGAAGTTAGATTAAATTGTTTAATTATTTATTTATTTATTTATTTATTTTTTATTTTTTTATTTTTTTATTTATTTATTTTTTTTTTATTTTTTTTTTCTGATATTCAATTTCTGTGATACAACCTGTGCCTCCAGTAACGGCAGGCAGGAATAGGATCCTATGCATAGAAACAGTATCTACTCTGGGGCTGGTACTCTTCCATTCATGGCTCACAGATAGTACATCCCACACTCATTTCTTGATGGAAATAATGCAAAAGCCCCTTCCTAAATGCCTACTGAGTCTTTTCTCCCTCCAAGAGTCATTCCCATTATCCCGGGCTTTAGCCAAAACGCTCATGACGGCAAGTTCCCTTCACCCCATCCCCACAGCCAGATTTTTCCTTGACGGCATGTTGATATTACCTGCCCTCGAGCCAATTTCGTGATGTGGTTGTTTCGCCATCTGAATTGTAGGGGTTGATTAATCAATTTTTGTTAAATTCCCATGAGTTGAAGTTTAGTAATGCTTATTAGAAAATGGAAATTAATTTGATTTTTTACACCCCTTACGGATGGGTCACGTGTATAGACGTTGTCCTATGGGATAACGGCTAACATTCGGTGATATGCTACAGCACATGGAGCAGGAAGTTCTGCAAACATGTATCAACTCCCCGACTCCGCTAGTTGGATTTTGTTAAATTCCCATGAGTTGAAGTTTAGTAATGCTTATTAGAAAATGGAAATTAATTTGATTTTTTACACCCCTTACGGATGGGTCACGTGTATAGACGTTGTCTATGGGATACGGCTATACATGCGGTGATATGCTATAGCACATGGAGCAGGAAGTTCTGCAACATGTAGCAGACTCCCGCACCCAGCAGTTGGACGTTGCCAGAGTTTATGAAGCCAAGAGACATCTGATACCTGTGACTGAGGGGTTAACATTATTTTTTGCAGAAGTATATTCATAATTTCCCTATTACCTGGGCTAGATTGATATTTTGAAGAGCAAGAGTTGTGCAGATTGGAGGATTTGTTAGCTTTCCAAATGAAAATTATAAGTATTTAGACTTGTATTAA